CCCATCTGCAGTTGTATTGATGGGGAGAGGGGTGCAGGGGGTAGGCACTTCTGTGCCTGGGTAGGTCACCCCTGCAAGCGACCTGGGATGAAGAGGGGCATAGACCTGCTGCTGCCAGCCCTGCCTGCCCGCACGGTGCTCGCCAGTGACGGAGGGAGACTTCAGAGACATCTCCCTTCAATCTGCTAGGGAGAGGGTGCAAGGCAGCACCTCTGCTTTCTGCTGAGTGGAGAGTGGCAATGGTATCTATCCTTTTCATGACAGAATTGGAGTCACAGAAAATCTACATTCTTTACAGGTCTAGCTAAAATATATACTTACATGAAACACTGGAGTTGTCTGGTTGTCACACAGACTGCAAAGTCTTGCTTAGTTTGTGTGAAAATCTGCCTTTCCAGAGCAAAACAGCTTTAATCGTAGAGGGCAGCAGCACAGAACAATATCCCCAGCCACAAGCCTTGCAGGTATTCACCTGCCGTGTTTCAGATGCTGTGGGATGCAGTGCTGTTGGTGAGATCTAACCCATTGAAATGAGTGCCAGACAGGGGAACTAAAGTTAATTTCATGGCTCCTATGGTACATTTGGCTCTCAGTGGTAACCTCACTGGGAGCTGATGTGGCTGACTGATAGAAGAATTCCATCCTGCTTATTAACACAGGGCTCTGCAGTTACAAATTAGTGCTTCTTCATCTGTGAAGAGCATTCACTACCACCATCCGCAGCAAGAGTACGGAAAAGAACTCCGGCAAACTCCAAACAGAAGAGCCTCTTGGCAGCCTTCACAATAATCAGAATAAACTCAGAGAGATACTGTGCTCAGCCCCTGTGATGTCTATCAGGGAGCTATTTCAGTTGCTCCCTGAGGCATTCACATCTCAGCCCATCTGTGTCTGATCCTAAATTACTTATGACTGTGAGAGATAAGGGATTTCCCCATAGATAAGGGGGGGGGGGGGGGGGGGGGGTAAAACTCCCACCCCTTCAATTACTCTCTCTTTCTCTGTTTGATATTTATATTAATGGCACAGCATGCAGAAAGCATTTAAATCCCAAGAAGTAGAATTTAAGTGGCATAAAAATACCAGTAATGATTAGATATTAAGAAAAAGACACTCTATCCAGCAGCTGCTTTTTTCCCCTTAAAAATTATCCCCTTGGTAGATGATCAGGTGACAATGAGTATGATGAACATTGAAAATGAAATTCTCTAATAGCACAATCCAGCTGCAAGCCAAATGTTACACAAAGACTCTGGCAAGACTGAAAAAAAGAAAGACAGAACATAAAAGACTTTGTATGGCAGTAGTCTCTACCTTCAAAGTGCTTCCCAACCATGACTGAGGTTGCTGATCTCACTTCTTGGAAAGGCAAAGATACTCATCCCCGTTTTCAGAAGCCAGGAGACTGAGTGCCTTGCCCACCGGTGACACAGTGGCCTTGTCCTCACCAGCAGGTACTCTGAGTTGCATCTTAGCCCCTAGTCATTAAGTATCTTCAGCTAACGACAGGTTCTGCTCAACAGGTAATGGAGAAGGAGCTCATTCTTTGGATTACCTCCCCCAGAAATGCATCTATAGGTGCTGTCTGCAGGCAGGGACAATCCCAGCACTACCACAGCCTTCACAGCATTGAATGTTTAGTTCACACGTTAGCTGAATTGCGTATAAATGGCACATTTTGGAAGCATTTCTTGTCATTAATGCAGCTGTCAGAACATTCTCCATCATGTCTGTGGGATGATGTCTTGTGCTGCTGTTTGTAAGAGTGATTGGAGGCTCCAATAATGCAGCAGTCCTTGAAAAAATGCTGGATACTGTGTTTGCTGGGTATTGGAGAAATACACTCTTGGCAAGTCATATGCTCATCCTCTCAAATAGAGAGAGAAGTTCTGGTACAGTACATCTGCCTCTGGTTCTGGACCATCTACGAAATCGGGACAATGTGCAGTTTTTAAAAATTATCACAATCTCTCCTTTTCATTGGGCAGAAACTTTAACTGATACTAACTCCTGTCACATACGGTACGTTCGTGTGAAATGATAAAAGACTGATAGACACATGCACTATTTCCATCTATAGCAAAAAAAGGTGAAAAAATCATATTTGGGACCCTATGTATGTGGAAATTGAATCAGGAAAGGCTTTGGAATAAGTAGCGTTGGAGAAGTCAACTTGCTTTTCCAGATCTCAGTTCTGTCTATTTGCAAAGTAGAAATAAGATTGTTTCCTTAACTTTATGAAGAAATTTGAAATTATGGGTGATAACAAAATTTCCACAATATTATTGCAGTTTCAGGCTACTTCACACCTAAAAGAGCTAAAGCTGAGCTTTTTCGTGCTTTTATATTCTATGTGCTTTGATTTAGCAGTATGGATCCTAGACAATCTTTAATGACTTGAGCATTGAAAATGGTTTAGTCAATGAACTTGATGGTTTAGTCTAGGTCACAACACCTAGAAGCAAAGATGAGGCCAACACTTACAGGAGTACTCAGGAAATCGCTGGTTTCTGTATTTTCAAGTTAACACAAAGTTACTGAAAAGCAATCGGTTCTTTAGGCAGCACACCAAGGGCTTAGCTGACTTCTTCATTCTCATTCAGAATTCCAGTGTTAGTTTCTACACACTGGAAATTTTGTTTTTCAGACAGCTGTAGTCCTTGCACTACTTGAGATCTCAGCTACAGTATTTACTAATTTTAAATCTGTGAGTAATTAGTTGGACTAATACAAGTTAGTAATATCCTACACTGGTAAGTGCTTAGCCTTACCTTTAAAAAAGACAGCGTTCACTGGTTTATCAGGGAGAGTTTCTTTCTGTGGTGGGCTTCAATTTCCCCTAGGCCATTTTGAGTGAGGGTGGGATGGGCTTGCTTGGAAAATTTAATGGCTTTTTCTGTTTCCATTCCCTTTTGCCAAGCTGGTCTTTAAAGCTGCTCTTTCATGATAGGTGAATTTCTCTCCATTTGAAGAACTAACATCAATACAACACAGAAAGCAGATTTTAGAAATGAGCTATTAGGCAGAAAAGAGGCACTTTTAAGATGCTTGCAAGTTGCACAGCAACCAGAGGAACATACAGTCATTTGATTTCTCAAATGACTTTGACTCAAGGGAAAAACAGTTTTATTCTCCCCTTAGAGCTTTCTATCATATGTGATAAAGAGAAAACGTGTTTATACATTTTCTCCCTCGGAAAAAAAAAAAAAAAAAAAAAAAAGTTGTACCTCAATCTCCGAGAAACAGCAGCATCTATTACCATGTAAATTACCGCAGAACACATCTGGTCACAGCTCCTGGTTGTGATCTTAAATGAGAAAATACAGCAGTGTAACCTTCCGTTTCTTCTCGCTTTTAGATGTAACACACTGACCCTTCTGAAAGCATAGATTAAAACCCAACCAACCAAATGACAGTTCATGCTTGATGTGTTTTCGGTTTCTGTAGAATTGTTTCTTGCATCTCTGTCCTCAGACTTGGAATTTTACAGTAACATTTTCTGATCGTTACAAGGAACACATCTCGGCTTTTTCTGGAGATCATCACCATATCAGCCATTGTCCAGTTTCTGCTGCGTGCGTGTGTAGGTTGATTCCAAATCAAATGCGTTTCTGATTTTCTTTTCTGATGCCCTCTGGAGCATGGTGTCACTTGTACGTTAGACTCAGCAGTCATGTTCATCATCGTAACAACATAAACATCCAGCTTCATAAATGCCAGTTATTCCTCTGGGAGATCTTATTTTCAATACTAATTTTGGTCAGTCCACTGGAATTGTGATTCTTTCTGATATAGCTGGATCTGACCACAGATGTAGTTATATTGTTACAGGAGTGTTTATTGATAACTGTGTCCATGCTAGGACAGTTTTTCTGATTTAATTACAGCAAAGCGTAACAGACAACCTCAGAACAATAGTTGAGATTTTTTTTTTTTAATTTGCAGAGCCCAGTGAGAAATCTGAATTTAGTAGATCAGAAGTATAGCTTAATTAAGACGGATTAGAAATCAAATACGTAAAGCAAAACACAGTTGTGTTGGTCTTGCAGACATCTCTAATTAGCTATGGGTCTGAAACGTTTTGAAAACCATGGGGCTGTCCAGGTATAATCAGGAACATCAAGTCTTCTGGCATAGAACAGAAATATTTTGGCTCGAGTGTGAAATTCCAAGCGCTGTTGGTATTAAAAACAGTCTGAAGTAGTTGCAGCTTGAGCATGCCTGGTATGGAGTCGCTGAGATGCAATAAATCCCCAGCATAATGCTATTTTTTACAGAGTGAAAGGAAACTTTCAAGTGTCCCTTTTGGTACTGTGATCAAAGGTTTCTGTTTGCCTCTCTTCAATCTCTTGCATTTTACAACTGCTCTCTTCCTCAGTAGCGAGACACGTTTACAAATGTGCTGTCCTGCTTCCCAGCAGATGTCACCTGGCTGAACTTCCCATTTCTGCACGCTGTCTCATGCCCAGCCCATCCCACACACACATATGCTAGCCTCCTTGCACGAAACCACGTGCAGCACCCCGCACACTTCGGGAGACGTTCTCTCTCCCTCTCTCTCACACACACACTCTCAGAGCTTTACACCTTTTCCCTCCTGTCTCATCTTTTAGTCATTTATTAGAGATACTGACAGTGATTTGTTTGAGACAGTCGAAACCTGAAACATACTGAAACAGAAACACATGGGAAGAGAAAAAGCTCGTAGTAATTTTCGTTGCATCACTTTTGCACAACGCTTCATGTCTGGTGAGTGACTGATCTACGGAAGGATGCTTCCAATAGAAAAGACCTCATGGAAGAAATCTTAAATCCTATGTAGAAAAATAAGAGCGAAATCTCCCTGCTTTCTTCCCTCTGTCTCCAAAATATGCTTTTCCACCCCACAGCCAGCCCCAAACTTAATATGGGGGACTGTGTGGGCTCTAACACATACATGAGGGGGAGTGCACATGAAGCACCAGTCAGTAATAATCTTTTTTTTTTTTTCTCCTCCTCAGTTTGTTGCTCAGCCTAACTGCCAGCAGCTACTAGCAACACTTTGGTACGATGGTTTTCCAGGATGGAGGCGGAAACACTGGGTAGTAAAACTCTTGACCTGTGTCACCATCGGACTGCTATTTCCTTTGCTATCCGTGGCATATCTGATTGCACCGAAGAGCAGGCTGGGACTGTTCATTAAAAAGCCATTTATAAAGTTTATCTGCCACACCGGCTCTTACCTAACCTTCCTCTTCATGCTCCTGCTGGCTTCGCAGCACATCGTCAGGACTGACCTTCACATGCAGGGACCACCTCCCACCATCGTGGAGTGGATGATCCTGCCCTGGGTTCTAGGTAAGTCAGAAACACAAAAACGCCTGAGCCACAGTCGCCTGACTCGCACCCATGGCAACTGTGCGGAGACTCATTCCTGATCTCAGCATCATCAGCGTGTAAAGAGATTTGGCAGCCAGCTTCCGTAACTGCATAAAACAGCTGGGCTCCTTCTGGAACAACAGATCCTGTTGGCCTAGGGCTTCTCTGCTGCTCATACTGCCATCTGACATGCCTTTAGACATGACCCTGAGTAAACTGCAGCACAGACAGCTCTCTCCCGGCTTCCCCCCATGCTCTGTGTGAGGAGCGGGTTAGGAATTAGCTTCTGGGTCATGCTAGTAACAAGCAGCATCACTTCTCGTGCTGGCTGAGTTCTGCTGGCTGGTACATGGCAGGAGGCAGTGCCGAGAGCCTGCCTCCTTCACCTTCTCACTGATATGCTCCTGGAGCCAGCGTGCAGGTACCAGCTCTGATTATTCCTGGGCTCCCAGACTCTTGAATAGCCTACAGGAAGGCAGAAAAATGAAGATAAATCTCACTCTGCCTTATATCTCTGTGCTGATAAACACTGACCTGATCAATATCAAGAGCTCTAATATAAGCAGCGGGAGGAGGAGGAAGTATTTATTGTCAGAATGTTAAATGTCAGGCTCTTATTCCAGTCTGACTTGGGCAACCACAACTGTGAAGAAAAGGAAGTGTGGATGTTCCTGAGGGCAGGACGGATGAGTGAAGTAGTGAGATGGAATAGGAGAAAGTGGATAGAGCCAACGGGAAAAGAGCAGAGAAGGGCACTGCGCCCCCCTTAATTATGTTATCACAGAGGTGGATCCACCATTGCGAATTGGCTTGTCCTTGGCCAGGGGCGGCTCCAACTTGGAGCTGGGGAAGCTTCTAGCAGCTTCTCACAGGAGCCAACCCTCTAGCCATTTCCCCACTACCAAAACCCCACCACACAAACCCAATACAAGACACTTCTCACAAACCTCAACCTCTGGAGCTCTCCTTATGGTTCCTCAGTGCTTCTCACGGGTCCACCTCTGCTCTCCTGGGCCTGCTGGCTCCTCTCCTGGGCTCCAGCTCCTCATTTCTGTGGTGGCTCTGGATCAGGCTGGTTCTGCGCTGAATGAACCTTCATGTTCCCCGTGCCAAACCTAAAATTGCTCATAGAAAAATGAGGAGAGAAAGTAAGACTTGGTTCACAGATCACTTTCCATCATGACCCAGGGCACTTTGCTCCTTGCATGGCTCTACCACAACTTACAAATGGTAACTCAAGCCTCATCCTCTTAATAAATGGATTTATGGCATTGGAATGCATGTGGTGGTAGAAACTTCCGACTAAGCTGAGAAGGTTAAATGTATTTTCTGAGCTTAGGTGATCTCTTCACTTTATCCTTAACTTCATGGTGAAAATTGAGAGGAATGGTAGGCATTTCAGCAAAATTGATTTCCAGCTGAAAGAAGGATAATCCATTAAAAAATCCCTTTCAAAATCACCTCATACAGCTGTCTGCTCTTCTTTTTGAGTTCCTTTGTTTCGGATAAATGGGAATATTGTGGGACTGTTTATTAAATGGAGAAATTAGAACAGTTTCACCAGATTAAAGGTTATTATTTAAGAAATATCTTCCACTATAAAAGGAGAGAGAGAGAGAACAGGCGCACACAGCATTGCTGTAACTATAGTAACCAGCAATGATAACTCACTGTAAATACAGTCTACGAGTTCTTCAACAGCCTCCTCTCCATTGATTTATTTTATTTTATGTTTTTGCATGCATGCAAAGATTTGGAGGCAGCTGTAATAAAATTACCTTCTTGGCCTTGACATTATGCTTACCTGACCATTGACCTGCTGGCTGGCAGCTGAAGAGCTAAGATTGATATCTGGATATTTGCGGCAGTTCATTTCAACACTATCTGTTCTTCAGATTGAACTTTCAGGTCCTAAAACTTGAGTTCTAAGTAGCATTTCAGTGACCACTGCAGTATGCTGTGGTTGGGTATGGGTAGCACTACATTGGTAATGCACCTGGAGGTGTATTTTGTTGGTTTGGTTTTGTTTTCACACGTTTCCAAGTCTTCATTCAATGATAATGTTGTAAACTGGGTAATTCAAAACATCTGGGGGCTCTAAAGACATGCTCAGAAGCATGTATGTGATGAAGGAGCCTCGCTGCCATTTGCTTTTTAATGGGATTTAGGCTTTTAAAAGTACTTAAACAATTCTACAATAAAAGACATATAAGTTACTTAAAATTAGGATTGTACACCAGGGACGTTGAGCAGTCAAGTAATGAACTTCAGAAGCTGCTGCTCACCCCTCCAGCTGCAAGGAGGGATAGTGAAGGTTAGCAGGTGCCAAAAATTATTACCAGAAGGCATTTCAGAGTTGAGATGATGGGCTCTGGCCGTATCCTCAGGAATAAATATTCACCTCGCAAAACCCATAGCCGCGTTTGACGTTAGGTGAGTCATTGCTGAGAGAAGCAATGCCAGGCTGCGGTGCCCTTTTTCATGCTGAGTCCTACCTTTTTTCACAAACAGTCCCTCTGGGCTTTTTGTGCAGCAAGATGCATAAATACGGTGACTGAGCATAGAGAATGAATTAACTTCTTCCTTCTTTGGTGTGATATTTCCAGGTCAGGGAGGAAATGTCCTGGCATGCAGAAGCTGGTACTAGCGTTGCATGTTCTGCAGAGAAAGTCAGGAAAAATCAGTGCTGTCCAACTGAGCAATGAATTACTTACAGCTTTTATGAGAGCAGACAATCTCTACCAAATCTATATTAAATCCCCTCATCGGTGCCAATCTGCTCATACTAGGTATAATTAATATATGTTTCAAGAAGTGTGTATATCTGGAGCCCTGGATAGGAAACCCAGGCCTTTTCCATATCTCTCTAGACTACATTCCCCACAGAGTTGTAAAATGTCTCATAATCAGCAGTATCACACTTTGTAGAAGGCAGGAAGGATGAGCCATTTTTTCCAAGCTGTTAATTTATAATTGTCTCTTATTACATCAGATGTACACAGTGCTTTAATGGCAAATAATACCTCGGCATGACAATAAACTCTTCTTTTTTTTTTTTTCTACAGGTTTTATCTGGGGAGAAATCAAGGAAATGTGGGATGGTGGATTCAATGAGTATGTACATGACTGGTGGAATCTGATGGATTTTGCAATGAACTCCCTCTATCTTGCAACTATCTCCCTTAAAATTGTTGCCTACGTCAAGGTACAGTAACTTGGGAGAGAGAATTTGTAACTTGCTTGTGAGAACTGTAGTACACAGGGTAGAAACTGTCAGAATTACAGATCAAAGAGAACAGTTGCTTTTCAAGCAGTCCAGTTTTGAAAATTCACCTGGAAAGCTTATTCATTTGTTTGGAGAATCATCTTCTTTCTCATCCTGACTCTTTGGTTAAGATCAAAGTAGATTGTTTGGGGATTGGGTAGAAGTATCCCCACTTGCTGTCCGTTTTGTAGCTACTCCATTGCCAAAGATCAATTTTGTTTTCCATACTGACACTGGACCTCTTTCAACAATGCTAGACATAGTTAAAACATGATTTTTAAATAAAACCGTAAAGGAAAGACAAGAATAGGGTTATCTGAAAACATCTACAGCCAAGATTTATAATCTGTAGTCCACGAGCCCCTGTAGGCTACTTACCAGGAGTTTGTGAAAAGTCTACTAAGAACAGCAAGCCTGCTGGTAGGAGGCTTCTGTCTGATATAAGGGAGTCAAATTATCCTCCTCAATATATAGTTTTAAACTATAGGTAAGGAAATGGCAAAGGAGTGTGTTGGAGCTTTAACACCTTGTTGTAGATTCTTCACCGTCATGTTCCATTTATGGCAAGAATGCACATCAGAGCTCATAGTCAAAAATCCTCCTCCGCATTTAGAAACTTCTGCTGCTCCAAGTTGGCGTATGCGCGTGTTTTGAAGCCAGCGGATGGCCTGAAGCACTTCCCTTATGTCTTTCTCTTCAAAGACAAAGACAAGACACAAATGCCTCCTGCAAACTTCCTCATGCAGTGGCTCTCAGTTGGAGCTGCACGCTTGGCCTGATTCTTTTCTTGGTATGAATCAGCAGTAACTTCACTACAGTTAAGGTAACTACCCAGGTGTAAATCAAATAACCGGAGCCTGCTCCTTGGTCACTTAATGCACTTTCTAGTTTTTCTGTGCTACTGTGTCGGTTTTGCCCTGGTAGAAGGGCACTACTTCTTACAGACCAAATAACCAGCACACGTACTTCCCCAAAGCAACCTTGTTTAGTCCTGCCCGAGCACGTACGCAGGCAAAGAGGAAAAGAGGAGAAAATTTCACAAAGCTCATTGACTCCAAAATGGCAAAGCTTTTATAAAAACCTCTGTAGCAAGCAGTCCTGCTGTGGGGCCTTTTTAAAATCCAGAAGGCTGCATAGCAGTGAGTTAGTTTTTCAAAGGGAAAAGCTTTAGGATAGTTGCTGCTCCCTGAAGAGGCAGCTCTGTAACAGCATCAAAGCAGGAACAGTTACGTCTTTTTTTCTCCCAACATTCAGAACCAGCGAGGAAAGTAGAGACTTGAAAGGTTGTTCTTTAAACTGTGAGCAATACAAAAAAAAAAAATGCTGGAAATCGTACAATTCACGAACAAATCTTAAAATGTTAACAATCTTGCTCTTTCTCACATACAAATTGCTAGAAGAACTGTGCATCCACAGATTGATAGAGTCACACACTGAGATTTAAACTCACAGCCAAACCACATGTAAAAGGAAGTACAGCTTTGTTTACGTACTCTGTAAGAACGGCAGAAACTTACAGACTAACTACAAAGACCTATATGCCAGCACACAGAATGCTTACAAGGATATATCTGAGTACAGACCAGACCCACTTCGATTAAAGCTGGCTGATCTAAGGTCCAGTCCTGATGAGGACCAATGTCAGACAATTCTGAGAGGTGCATAAAATCTTATACAGGCGTAGTTCTGAAACAGCACGCTCACACAAGTTCCCTTCTGACCTATGTCACTTAGAGGTTGCAGTATGCTCTGAAACATGAGGATTTATAACGTTGGTAATGGCTTCAAAATCTTTTGTAACTTGACTTGTAAAGGTTTTGTTATTTATAGAACAGCCCCGAGCTGGAAAAGGCTGGTATATAGCCAATATGCCATATTCTAACACTTCTTAGAACCTCAAAGGATTACATGGACATTTAGCTTTCTGCCAAATATCAAAAAAAAATAAATTGCAGACTGACACTAATGTTTTCCATCCTTTTTTTTACGTGGAGTTTTTTTTTTCTTGTTTTGACTGGTTCCAAGACCCATCCCTAATATTGTCCAATATCAATGAAATCTTGAGGTTAATTATAGGGTAAAAATACTTTCCTAATGAGTTTCATTTGCTGCACTGAATTATCATGTAATGTGACTGCCTGGCATAACTTATTTGTACTATTCTGATACACCTCTGCTCTGTTTTATCTTCATCTTCTGAAGCCCAACCCAAACAACTCCAGCCTACCCAGACATCCAGCTTCATTAGATGCTCTGAAATCTTCCATTTCTCTGTTACCTATGATGCTAGGCTGCTCTGAAGAGACCTCTGTTTTCCAAGCAAGGATATACCATTGGTTTATAAAGGGACAAAACATGACCCTAACAAGTTGCTTTAAAAATAGGTGTGAGATGAAGAAGGCTTTTTCCCATTCCTTTACATGCCGTTTATGCCAAACCCGAGCGAGCACGTTGGGCTGCTGTGTCCAGCCAGCATGCAGAAGAGAATTGCACAACTGCACAAATCTGCTCTCCAGGCAAGGGAGGCTTTCTGATCACAACCATCCGCCCCCACTGCTGGATATGGGCAAAAAGTTACCATGTCTGCCTGTTTGTAAACATTTTAAGACTCATCTTCAAATCAAGTTAACAGACGCAGGCCATGATGTTCATGGAATAAGGAACAGTTTGGAAATGTCAGAAGCAATCGGAGGTCATGCTGAAATGCCTTTGTATCATGTCTCAGCGCCTTCATACAGAGGGATAGTTCAAAATATCAACTTGCTTTTAGCTGTGTCCTTGAAAAAACTGTGAGCTTGTGTGTTGGACCTTCAGATTTAAATAGAAAGTCCCTGCAAACTCCACTGTCAGTATGATACTGATACCATTTCCCTTTAAAAGGTACAAAAATTATTTCAGGTGTCCTAAACACGCGGACTACACTATTAGCTCTATTATTCTAAGTACATTTTTACCTTTTTATATATGTTAAATGAGCAGAGACAAATGTTAAAAAGACAATTATTCCTTGATGTTCAAACCTCTTTGATTCCATTCTGTTGTGCCAGCCTCGTTAAGCCAGAGTTGTTAGATTTATACAACCAGCTCTTTTGTGTTACCTGTTTGTATCTGGCTGCACTTCGCTCAGAAAATGCTTCTGCTTTTACAGCTGCATTACGAACCAAGTTAATGTTATAATTGATGCACTCAAATGTATCCAGTGTTTCAGCGGTAATTATGAGCTCTGCTTTAGCAACTCTCCTAAAATTGCCATGACAAATTAACTAATAAGAAAATTAATATGAAGAAAGCATTTTGGTTCTGGGCTGTTGGCACTTTTTTTTGAAATTACTAGGGAAGGAAAGCATCCACTTCTTATGCTCAATAGTACATTGCTATCCTTCTTCCCTCCCTTCTCCCTCCCTCAGATTCTTCCTGGAATGTGCAGTGTTTTGAATGTGCAGTCAGATTTAGGAGGAAAAAGAAAAAAAGGTAATTGGAAATTTCTGACCTGAACCTGCTTTAGGCAGTCTGAACCCCTTTAATCGTTGAAAGAGAAGGAGATTGTGTATGAACCCATGGACCTGAAGAACCCGCAAACAGTGAACTTAAAATTCAAAAGGCCTGTTTTCTAAATTCAGGCTAAGAACAGCCAACACACCAGAAGCATCTAAAGAAAAGCTGGTCTCACAACTCTCCTTATCAGAGGGTCATAATCTAGTAGCGAGAGTTCCTAAGAAGGCATTGTTAAACCTAAGGCTCTGCCTCGATCAAGTCAGCTTCAGTCCTGAATCACAAATGTTAGTCTGACAGTAGCTGAGACTTAAGATTTAAATGTACTTCTTGTGTCTCCAGTACCTGGTGACAGTACATACACGTGAAGCGTTAGTATTAGCAGGGGTGACTTTTCAATTTATCTCAGAGTAACTACAACATAATTCACTTTTATACCCTTGTTATTTCTTTCAGTATAATGGTTCTCGTCCAAGGGAGGAATGGGAAATGTGGCACCCGACTCTCATTGCAGAAGCCCTCTTTGCAATATCCAACATTTTAAGTTCCTTGCGTCTCATATCCCTGTTTACAGCAAATTCACACCTGGGACCCTTGCAGATTTCTCTGGGACGCATGCTGCTAGACATCCTTAAATTCCTTTTTATCTACTGTCTGGTGCTTCTGGCTTTCGCCAATGGACTGAACCAGCTTTATTTTTATTATGAGACCAGTGCCTCGGAGGAACCCAACAACTGCAAGGGGATCCGATGTGAGAAACAGAACAATGCCTTCTCCACGTAAGACATCCTTTTCTTTGTAAGGTTGACTTCCACTGTCTCTTGTCTTGGCTGCCTTTGCATGTTGTCTGTCACTGCACTGAAAACACCTTTATTTGTTCATTTGCAAGTACCAGGTGAGCTGGTTGACTGTGCAGGAAAGGTGTGAGTTAACTGGGGCATACATTCTGCTGAGCTCTGCTGTCAGAAAGACTCAGGTCTGGAAGGGAGGGACAACCATTTCAGTTCTGGACCAAAGAGCCTCTCTACATGATCCTGCAACTCAAATTTTATTATGGTTACATACAGTTTCAATATACTTGAGAAAGCAAGTATCTTTCTGCCATAATAATTGTTTTGTCTGATTCTGGAGGAAAGAAGGGGAAGCTAAGCGAAATGTAGAAAACAAGGGATAAACCTATGAAAAACATATATTAATAAATCACGTGATAGAGCTGCAACAGCAGTCTCACCTAGGCCATTTTTATACATACACGATGCTGCAGGCTTCTCTGATTTCCTTGCAGTGGGGTGAGACTAAAATCCCAGGAAAATCCTTTTTGCTGGAAATGCTGGTACTTTACTGAGATGCTGGCATGGCAATTGCTGTGATGACAGCTGGCAGGGCTGAAAGAGATAGCACATGCTGCAAAATAAAATGAATTGTCTTTCTGATGTATTTGTTTTAATTACTAATAGTGGAAATAATTATAATAATCAGCCCCCGCCCAATTGTTCTTGCTGCTTGCACAGTACTTAAAACACAATGGGGAGAGAAATAAATAAAGCACGGTCTAGAAAAAAGGCCTACACCCTGCAAACAAGCAAAACACAACTGTTGTCCACCACCTTATGCTAAATTAAATAAAACTTGTCATAATGCCCAAAAATCCTCCACCCATCCTCAGCTGAAGGCTTGAGGTCAAGAAAGGATTTGTGAGGTCTTTGCACTGTTATCAAAAGCAGGTGATGGCTGAGGCCACACGACTCTGCTGGAAGAGGAGAGGCTCCAACATTGTCCACGGGCTCCCTCCTTAAAAGAAGTGGGGGATTTTCGTGGGATAGATCCAGCCTTACAAGAGCATCGTGACCTGCTAGACCAGAAGTGCTGCCGTTTTCCACTGCAGAGCAGGAACACCATGGGCTTGATTAATTTTCTGATTAAACCCATCTATGTCTGGAGGAAGTGAATGGAACTGCTCTGTGCTAATAAAAACCAGAATTAAATACTTCAGTCTTTTTTCTATTTTAATTGCTTTGCATGCCCCAGAAATACGTTGTGCTGCCCTTGCAAAGGAATTAAATAACAAATACTGTTTCTTGATCATCATCCACATTGATCCAGCAGCCAGAGGAGAAATGTTTGGCAAGCACAGTGCTTGTTAAGTGGCAACTTCTAGCTCAGGAAGAGTCAAAACCACAGAGCTCAGGACTAGAGCCTGCCTTTCCCTGGAGCTCCGGTGAACAGATGTATTCAGTTCTGCATTCTGGTTTGGACCTGTCTCCATTGCAAACCAGTTGTTTTACAGATTTCGCTGTCAGCAGGTTAGTGGAGAAAACAACAGCAAGATTTGATTAAAGACAATTAGAGCTGCTTTGAGAGGAACCAAAAAAAAAAGAAATCCACAAGTCTCTAAGAAGGTGTAATATCTCGGGAACTAGAAATGATACAGAACCACTTCACAGAAAGTGCGAGGATCAGCTTAAATACAGACCACAATTTCTCCCACCCTAACATTCAGTTTCAACCCCCTGCCAAGGAGAACGTAGCACAGAAAGGAAATTGAGGGGGCTCAGCCTTTATGGCAGAGGTTTGTCTAAAACAAAATCGCAGTGGGAGGGGATCCATTAAGACTGAGGTCTCCTGGCAGGGGACAGAACGCTCTGCAGTTAGTTTTTGTTTGAAACTTGCTTAAGAAATTTATTTAACATGTTCTTAAAAGTTTAAATAGTTGTTATTAACACCCCCAGTACGAGCTGACATTTGGCCCTTGAGCGGATGCACAGCATGGGTGAGTGGCTGAGAAGGAGCAACCTGCAGAACGGAAAATTATAACGTTGGGCTGGGGAGAGCGAGCACGGCTGGGGTGAATTCAAGTCAGAGCTGGCGCTACCTCGAGTTTGCTCATAGTTCATCCCTAATGAAAGAACAAATGTAAAAAGCTTTCAATCAGTCCCCTTTGACGCCTACCCACATTTTTAGGCAGTCACACAATAAGATGTAATTTTGTAAGGGAAGGAGAAGCGGGCCGCCGCTGGTGTTTGTACAGCTTGTTTAAAATGTGACACCTATTTACTGGCGCATTATTTCCTATTACTCCCAAAGGATGAGTTCAATATTTTCTTGGTGAGGAAATTTTCTGCATCGCAAACACAGATCATGGAAAAGTAATATTCCTGTGTGACAGCAATGAGGTGAAGTCATGAATAATTTAAGTTTTTATGCATTAGCCTCACCATCCCTTAAAAAGCAGAGTGTCTACTGCTTCAGCAGACTATTTGAAAATATGTTTATTGAAGAGGGAGAAAAGAGAGAGGAAGAGGAGGAAGGGGCGTAGGAACTCACACCTTACCGCCTGCTGTGTCGTTCTCACTGGAGGGTCCCGCGGATCGCTGGGGCTGTTTCTCCAGGGACTGCGGGAGCTCAGGAGGGTCCCTGGGGCAGAGGGGCCACCTGCTCTCTCTAAGCTGCCGTGGAGCGTGGCGAAGCTTTGAGATTTCTCCTGTTTGCTTAAGATCCAAAACATACTCTGCAGGAGGAGGTAGTCTCTCAATCACAATTTCCAAAATAATTTTTTTTAAAGCTCCTTCTCCGAAGTAGTGTGAGCCCCACCTGAAACACTTGGTGTGAAAAGAGATCATGGTTCTGGCCTGTCGTGAAACACTGAGGAAGGAGTAGCTAAGGCTCACTCCTGTGCAAAGCTGCAGAAATCAGTTGCCATCTTTTTCAAGGGGGACACGTGTCCACATGTAAATACATTGGCTTTAGTCTGGGCCCAAATTATACTCCTGGTTAATGGAGTGAACTCAGAGCAATGCACTGATCACTTCTCAGACTGATTTCAGTTTCATAAGAGGAACCTCTGTCTCCCCTGAGCCTACAGCCTAATCAGCACTTTTACTGCTAGTGGTTAAAATAAGTTGAAAGATAGCTAGCCCTCTGCCATTTATAGTAGAGGAGTGCTTAGCATTCTTGGTTAATCCTTATCACCTTCATTTAAGAAATCTAACAGCCTGACTTTTGGGAGAAAGGATTTTTGCTTCAAAGAGTCTTTATAATTTTGGCGACTGAAAAACATAAGAAACGTCCACAAACTAAACTGAATCCCCGTGTAAAGCATGAGGGCACATGTGGAACAGATGCCCAGAGAAGCCAAGGGAACAGATTCCTGGAACATCAAGTACCGTGGCTGTATTATTTGTATTGATTCTTCTAGTAGGAGCATTTGAAAATATCTGCTGACCTCAGGCCAAAATGGAAACTCTTAAACAAGCATATAAATGTCATTTTTTTCATGATATAAATGCCATATTCTGGAAAGCCAAAACAAAGATGCCCAAACAGAGCAATTATTTAGATTGCTGATTATGTATTTGACGTGATTGCAAAAGGTCACTTGTCCCTGGCCGAAGCACGTAGAGACCTGGGATGATCTCATCAGCTGTAAAGCACAGCAAGGTCAGGTCTAGTTCATCTATGGAAGGAAGACTTCAAAAGATGAGAACCTCTCAAGCCAAATTAATGTGATGACTCCCTTTCATCTGAGTCATTACTGGCCAACTGGTGCAGCATGCTGGGGAGGGCACCGCACCGGGGTGGGTGGGAGCTGTGCATGGACCAGCCCCAGCAACCAGCATTTTCGGCCATGTGAGTTGCTGACAGACGGTGCCTTAGCACATCAGCCTGGTTCGCTCACAGATGAAGTAACGGCAAGCTCTCAGCCTATGTCAGAGCAAAAGGTGCAACTGGATGTGATTTCTCTCGCGTGTCCTACCTCGTGCTGCCTCGTTGTGCACTACTACGGTCGTGTGGTACTTGGGGATGGGTTCCCTGAACATTCCGTCTGCAGGCATGTTAACGATGCAGCCACTGACTGAACAGGACAAGTTATACCTGTAGATAACAGTAGTATCACAGCATGGCCATTTTAATTAGGAGGAATATATTGTGGCTGTTCTTTACATGTGTGTGGAGTGGGGAAGGGAACCTTGGGTTCCTTTAGCTGCTCTGTGGTGTCCCAGGCTTCCAACGTCTATGTGTTCCCTACCTGAACCAGGCATTGTTTTCCATTCCTCAGAGTCAGGTAGCCAAGTAAAAATCTGGTTTTATTTGCAGACTTTTCGAGACCCTCCAGTCACTCTTCTGGTCTGTGTTTGGCCTGCTGAATCTCTACGTCACCAACGTGAAAGCCAGACATGAGTTCACAGAATTTGTTGGGGCCACAATGTTTGGGACCTACAACGTCATCTCCCTCGTTGTGCTGCTGAACATGCTCATAGCCATGATGAACAACTCCTACCAGCTCATTGCTGTAAGTTATCTCATTCTCTCTTTTCTTGCTTTTATTTTTCTCATCTGTTTGGCAGATAGCAAGTGTGTATCTTATCAGATGCTGGAGACTGCTGCCCCCAGTTTTTGACAGCAGATAGTTGGGATTTCTACTCGCTAGCCTGAATCATGCTTGCGGAGGAGGTTTTGCTGTTTGTCATCCTGCTTAGCTGGAAAAGGCTTATCAGCTGCGTTCTGCCCTTGTCTTCTCCTATGCAGTAACCTCACTGATCACCTTGTCATTAGCAGCTGATTTACTTTGTAGCAGAGAAGGTATATAGAGCGAAGCCTTCCCCCTGCTTCCTGATGTTTGGTTTTAACTTGGAGGGGTTGTATTTTTTTTTCCTTTCTCCTATTACTATTTTCTCATTTGAAACAGTGTACTGTCAGGATCCTGGTCCTGTAGTTTCTTATTCCACAGTCTTCCCACTGAAATTAGATCATTTCCACCTGCAACACCACCTGGTCTCCTGGCAGCTGACTGCAGACCTGCAATCTCAGATTCCTGAGTAACCTCAGTGCAGGATGGATCTGAGCTGAGGCAGCTTGGGGCTGCCAGTTGACTGTAGAGCCAGTTTCAGACTCAACTTTATCTTCGTTTGAATGTTCAAAACTGGTCTCTCTACTCCAATCTCATTCTGTGTACGTAAACTGCACATCTGTACAATGACGGTTAAATTTGGCAACAGAATGGAAACTAAAGCAGTGTGGCTCTGTGTTTTAAGGCTCTTCAGGTAAACTACACAGAAACAGTACGGAAGGAAGCTACATCTTGTGTGCACAGTACTGCAGGTAAACCAGTGGGCACTTACTTTCCAGTTCTGACACCTAACATGATAGGTTTAGAAGCAGTGGGGTGATGAAGTGTTACGTCATCTGTGAACAGAAACAGGAGTTAGGAGAGTCATTTGTGTCCTCAGCTGGTCGCTCAGAAGTACAGGCAGAGTAGAGACTTCCTACTCTAATTTGGATGACTCTTGGATTTACTCTAGAGTGTAGAGGATAAAAAAGAGAAAAAAATGCTCTTCCACTATTTCCATTTCTAACTTCCTGGACAGATCTCTGGGTGAGCTCCTTTCCTGGCTAAAGCACATAGAGGAGAGTATTGAGTTGTCTGCTTGAACAAGTTCCACAACTGCTGTGGATCATCTGCTGATTCAAGTGGCTCTTAAATTTAGTTATCCAGTCAAACTGAGCCCAGAGCCAGTCAAATCGGGGATACTTTTGGACATCTGATCTTTATCAAGTTAAAAAGTATGAGAAAAACTGGGCCATTGACCTTCCAAACAAGCAGAAAAGCAGCTTATCACAAAGGCACCCTGCTTTATCAGTCTGGTTCAGTGCTTCAAGTGCTGCCTCTTTATTCAGTGCTGCTCCTCACATTCCAGGGAGACTGGAATAGGGGCAGAAAACAAAGATACTCTCCTTGGCCGTTTTCTCCCATTCCCCTTCCTTTATTGCCGTCAAATAGGCTTGTCACTGACACAAAGCCCAAACCTAAGACGGGCATAAAAATAGCAGTATTTGCTGTTCACTGGGATACAAACCACTCATCATTCTTTTCCCTGAATAATCTGAGTGATGCAATGACAAACTATAAACAATCCCGCATGACTTAGAGACTCATCGTAACAATTAACTGAAGTGAATGGTCCAGAGCGACTTTTGTATTAATGTTTTTGCATATGGAGCAGTTGGGAACAATGAACTGCTCCATCAGAAGGTATGTTTGTGAGAGACCTGAGGGTAGAGGACTGAACTCACCCGCTAACCCAGGCAGAACACGCAGTTTGGCGTACACCACGAGCCCCCTACCCAGAAGAATGACAGTGACAGTGCTACAGGATACGTCTTTGTCACTTCAGCTGTCATACTGCAATTGCTGCAGAGAGCAGTGACACTTCTTGCAAAGGCAAGAGGCGGTCACCTCCAGCCTCTTCTCGTGCAGCCCATGCAGCTTGGTTTTTGAAGCTAATATTTCTGCATGCTCGCAGCATTCTCTCAGGGATGAGTTTTCTTTGTCTCTTCTAAGGGTGAACATCAATTCATCTCTTCCCTGAAGAAAACAACTCATTAATAAATGTTGAGCTTTGCAACTGTGGGTCATTTTTTAACCTCTTGCAATCAGGTCTGCCCCTTTCTGAATCACAGCAGACTGGTTACTGGTCTGGGCGTTTCTTCCTCCTGGTATTTCTATGACATGGAATAGATGAGGAATGGCAGCGTGCCAGGGAGGGAGGAGGGGAAAGGACCTTGCAGTGGGGTGGAGGTCTTCTTCTCAAATACATCACTAGGAAATCTTGTGCCATGTGCAGGACTGCAGAGAAATAAAATGAGCTAGACATCCCAGAGTGCATCTCTGCTTCTTGATTTCCCTGCAGTGGAATGGTCAGGACGTCTTAATTAATTCCTCTCATTAATGAGCCAGTGGCACTGCTGCAATGCAAACAGTCTCCCCTCCTTTCTTCCAGGGACAAATACATTACTGCATTTGTAGCAGTTATTCTTCAGGTTAGCTTCTCTCTGTTGTCTCATATATACGTGAGTTTCTGCTGTGAGGTTAGAAAAATGAGATTCCAAGCTGCTCTTTCTTTGCTCTTCGTTGTATCTCCCCTGTACGGAGGTACAGGCTTGGCAGTTAATTAAGCACTGTAGGCACACAGCATGAAACCATGGGGTATCTGTGGAAGACAGAGCAAGGCAAGCAAAGGGTAAAACCTCCACACAGCTTTGAGTGATTCCTGACTCACGGAAGGAAGGATTTTTCTGCCATAATTTTGTTGTTTTTCTACTAAGCTATTTCAGACTTCAGTAAATACATTTTTCTAGGGGTACCCTGAAGCAGTTTCGATATTGATTTTTTTCATACAGCCCATTTTTCTCTTTCGCCAAGCCATTGTCAAGAGCTGGTTATGGGAGACACTATGTTTCACTGACAAGGCAAACAGAATCCCAAAGCACACCCAAATTTCCATACGCTTTGTGCGGTTTCAGTACGTGAAGATCAGAATGTTCTATACAAGCAGCACAGAATGCAACTGGCTGTTACGCACTGCTGGGTCTCTCATCTCAATACCTTCCCAGACGTGAGAGAAATACCATCACCTGATGAATACAAGAGGAATACGTCACGATGACAAGAGGAAGGACAATGGAACTTACCTGGAAGCAGACAGGTGGCTCCATCATTCCTAAGTGGCAGAAAGTAACAGAGTGGGTGATGAAAACACTTTAAGTCATGGGCTGTTTCTCACAGGATCGCCACTTGGCTGCATCTGAAGTTACACAATCCTTCTGCCAGTTTGTAATTTTTCAAAACAGCGTGATAGCGGGTGTTACTGGGGGTCCTCGGGTGCAGGTACATTCTGGCCTTTCTGGTGCCGTAGGGTGCAGGTACATTTTGCAGGGAATTAGCAATCTATGCGTATTTTCTGAAAGCATGTTCCTTGTGGACACATCCGTGATATTCTGGGATGTCATGCAGGAATTAGTCACTGGAACTGTACCACCAGTTCTGACTCTGCAGCCGCAGGAGCAATGGGAAGCAAGATCGATGGGAGAACAGCAAGTAAGACCCATCTGCAGGAAGGAAACCATAGGGCTGCGAACTCATCACCTGAGCTCCAGGTGAGCTAGAGCGATAAGTGGCACACCACAGCACTGCCGCGCTAGGCATCCCGCTGACATATTAAGGAGGGATGTAAGTACTTACAGCTTTCAGATGTTTTAGGGAAGTACAACGATGCTTAATACCTCAGGGATAGCGTCACACCAAAGTAGGTCTGAGAAAAATTACCTCTAACTGCTGTGCATGAAAGTGAAGGTGTTCCAGCTTCGAGTGTGTGTAATACATGGCGTACAGGCTATGTTTGAATAACAACTTCACTCCAGCAGTATGCATTAAGCTACAGAATTGGTTTGTATATTGTATTTTATATCCTCATGTTGGTTTGTGTGCCTATTATTTCAAGCAGGTTCATCTCAGACAGCTGTTACTGCAAAAGACAGCTGTGTGTTTAATTTTTTTAAGTGTATCTCTGCGAGTAGAATGTACGACCAAATTGAAACATAGCTGCCAGTGTTCAGACTGGAGAAATGAGGGCATTGGACACCAAACTAGGAGTGCAGTTTTAAATAATGGAATGAGATAGAGTGGATTAGCACATATTGTGGAGGACAGGAATGAACACAATAAACATTTTGCATAGCAAAACAAAAGCCATACAGTAAACAGAAACAGTTGGTATGAGCAGCTAAAAATAAGCGATCACTTTCAGGAGATTTTGACTGTAAGTGTAGGGATGTTGTACATGGAATTGTCTACATTTTTGCAGAGTAGAGAGTTTAAAAACTAAAGCACAGAGGAATACAAAGATTTTTCAGCTCCCTATTACATTGTTTCCAAGATGCCTTTGGATTTCCCCCAGGAAGTAGTACCAAACTTTTCTTCATCTACAATGAACAAAAATTCCTCTCGTTTTCTGCGCCAATTGAGCTCCCTCAGCACCACAGCAGTAATTACCTACCCAGTTTAATTCACAGCAGCAGCAGAAATTCTCTTCCCCTCTGTGATCTACAACCCTTAGGACTGTCAAAAAAATGTTGCACCTCCTCTGCTTGCATGACCTGCACAGCTATTAGTTGGTGGTTTTGCTGAGGAAGAATTTTAGGAATCAATAAACTTGGTTCAAGAGACAGAGCTGTACAGTCCCTGCACGTGGCAGGTTTTGGGGTGGTAGCTTGTCCCCCTGTAGAGGTGAGGCCACCTCCAAAGCCTGGACTCACATCCCAGCTATTGTAAAGCATCAGGAAATGTTCCTCTCACAAGCCCCATTTCAGAAGCATCAATTTGAATTTCTTAGGAGAAATTGAGATGTGTTTGTTTTTTAACTCTGTCATCCAGCAGGAAATGAAATTATTATACTCTTCTTGCCAATATGAGCTGGGATTAATGTCTCCTGAAGCTTTTTATGGTGTAGAAAA